AAGAAAGCCAGATGCAGTGAAGTGAGTGACATGTTGGCTGGAGTGATGAAAAATGAGTTCCAGTGAATGTAGGCAGGAATGCATCAGAAGACTGCTCTGGTGATGCAGCAAGGAAAATGTTTTTATACTACTTTTTTGCACAGAATTTTCCAGCAATTTATGCAGGTGATTAAATATTGTTAGAGCTGGACCTATTGGAAATAAATATAAAGAATTTTATTCATAACCCAGCTGTAGGAATTTGTTTGATTTTTAGTGAAAGAGGTATACAGGTATATATCTTAGTGAAAGAGGTATATAGAATGTAAGAGAGAAACAATAGAACATTTCTTGTATTTTTTAAAATAGAAAGAGTGGACAGAATGGATTGAATACATGCAAAATAAGCTAGATGTATCTGTATACCCCAATTAAAACTGATATTGCAGTCTTCTCTGTTTGCTGAAAATTGTTGGGAGGGTGATCCGTCTACATCTCCAAAGGGTTCTGGAGCAAGGGGATTATATAGACACTTTTCAGAAAAATTTCAAACTAGAATCAAAATATTGTGACAGCATTGATTCTACTATTTTCCCTCTTGTCTTTAACATCTACATAACGTTTTGGGGGGAGGTAGTCCATAGGTGCAGGGTGCAACATCATCAATATGCTGATGGCTGTTAATTATACATCTCTGGTCCTATTGTCAAGCCAATGCTAAACCAATGTCTGGAGGGTGTAGAGATCTGGACAGGGAAGTATCAACATTACCAAGAATGAGTGTATGTGGATTTGGGAAACTATTGGTCTCAAATTGGAAAACATCATTCTCAAGTCTGAGTGGTGCTGTAATGCCTTCTCAGTTCAGTGAACAATTTGATGGTCCTCCTGGAGTCATGATTCATATGTGACAGCTGTGGCAAAGGAGCTCTTGCCTAACTTTGCTTCATGTTCTGATTGCACCTGTTTGTGAAATGCCTGCTCATGGTTACTCACATGATTGTGATTATGGGACAGTGATTGCTTGATTAATTTCTTCCACAGTGAAGAATCTATGCTTTTGGGTAGAGCATATGGCCTTTTATCGAATGTGGGAATTGTTTGATAAAGTAAAATCAACCTAAGCATTTTCTTGTCTATTTCCATCTTGTTATAATGATAGCAGTACCTCTTCCCAGCATAATTGGAAGGAGCAACAAGAGTTTTCTTGGGTCTCCCATGGACTGTTGGGCTGCTATTCAGCATGGGAGCCAGTTTTACATCAGTTTTACAATGGTTGCTTTTATTTTGTTTTGTTTGTTTTACTGCCTGTTGAAAGACAACTTTGCAACAATGTTTTATAGTAGTTTCAATTTTTCTTAAATGGCAAGGAATGCAGTGCTGAGGGATGCCCATTAAACGCTATATACATGTATTTGAAAGCATTTCAAAACACTAGAGAAATCAGGAAAGTGATTCAAATTCTAGATCTGTTTCTAAACTTGTTAAAAGAAGACTGTAAAGAATGAATAAGAACAAACCTATTTTTAATCAGAGAAAAAAGAACTTTTCTGAAAAATTAAAGATAGATTGCAGTATGAAAATTCAGATTAGAAAAGATATCTTGTGGAAATTAAGGTTTGCCTTTTGATTGTCCTGGATTCAAACTTGAAAGTAGCTCTGTTCAAAAATTATGTTTATCCATATTGTCCAATAGATGGGCTCTCCAGTACTTCTTCTCCTGATATCCTTGCCACTCTAATTGAAATAGCTGTTATGAATCAATCATTCAGTGGAAAATATTTAGTAAGTAGAGTTTCATGTTTGGTGTCCATTAGTCATTGCTTTAGCAGGGGAAAGCATATCAACTCTATACTATACATGGACTCATGGTATATTGGTATATTATATATTGATGTACTGTATTAAATTTTGTTACTATTTATTAGTGTGAATAAAACTGTCTACTTCCTATGCATTATTGCAAAATGGATGATCTTTCTAGAATTCCACAAGCAATTTTATTTTTAAAAGTGTTCAAAATTAAGTATAAAAATATATAAATTCAGGTACATATTAAAATGTGAATGCTTATATAGATATACTTTATTTTGCTGCACCAGCAAGCAAATGAAGCTTTAAAAAGCTATATCAGCTCATTTAGATTCCCAAATGAAAAATATGTTTAACAAAAATGAAACAGTGTATACGATATAATTTAATAATTAATTTTAATTAGTTTGTGGTTTTGATATTTATAGAAAACTGGCAATGATGTAGAGATAGCAATTTGGCAATTATAAAATATCAGCTTTCAGTGGGTAAGGAAAAAAGGAAAATTATCCATACTAGCATTCATTAAAATCTCAGTGTAGGTAAATAACTAACTGAACACCATCTGTCTGTTTATATTCTTACTAATAAAAATTTCTAACAGAAATTAATGAATTTATGCTTCTTCTGGTACAACATCTTTTTTTAAAAAAAACATTAGCCTTAATTCAATGTCATTGTTAGAAATATATATATATATATATATATATATATATATATATATATATATATATATACAGTGTAATCGGTGATACGTAAAATTTACTTTATTTTTCAATTGAATTTTGAAACTGCTTATAAAATCTAGATGAATGTTGCATGCTGGAACATGGGATATATTTATTTCCTGATCTTGAATGTTGCTTACTATTAGAAATTTTAGCCTAACTGATGGTACTGCAGACTATATTCCCAAGGATTTTGAAGCTTCTCTCTGTATGACCAAACCAGATCAACATATTTCTTTTGTATTGGTCACTCATTGTTGTATTCAGTCCAGATTAATTCTTGATCTTATTTTCTTTTGTATATGCAACCTATCCTCACTGTATTCAATTTCATTTTTTTAGTGATATACCAAACTCTCATTTCTATATAACTGGGCAGAAACTTCTACATATTAATTATTGCTTCTTTCAACAGATATTCTTTCCTTGCAACAAACCACATACTACAGGATATTGTTCTTCCACCTGTTTTAAATCTTTGTTTCTTCATTCTTTCTTCAGTCTTTAATAAACATTCATATACATTCTCTGGCATAGACATTTTTATGGTATTCTTTACTGTTGACTATTTTTGATGTTTTAATCTTGTTTAGTTATAGAAGGATTATTAGCCATTTAGTAAATTGCATTTGAAATGGCATCTAGGCTGACTAAAACAAATAAGCTTACAACATTCATTGTTAAAGATATAATTATTCCAATCTCTAAAATAATACTTCCAGCAATACGTCATTTTGATTTCAACATTTCATCAATTTTCTTTCATGTCATTTTTTCCTACAGACTTGACTTTTGATACTAACAAAAAAATGGCCTTTCCATTTTTGGAATTTTTTATTATATAATAATATAGTAATAATAAAGTTGGAAACCCTATACCATTTCAGACAAATGGCTGTCCAGTCTCTTATTAAAAACTTCCAGTGTTGGAGCATTCACAACTTCTGGAGACAGGTTGTTCCACTGATTAATTGTTCTAATTGTCAGGAAATTTCTCTTTAGTTCTAGGTTGCTTCTCTCTTTGCTTAGTTTCCATCTGTTGCTTCTTGTTCTGCCTTCAGGTGCTTTTGAGAATAGCTTGACTCCCTCTTCTTTTTGGCAACCCCTGAGATATTGAAACACTGCTATCATGTCACTCCTAGTTCTTCTTTTCATTAAACTAGACATAACCAATTCCAGCAACTGTTCCTTATATGCTTTAGCCTCCAGTTCCCTGATCATCTTTGTTGCTCTTCTCTGTACTCTTTCTAGAGCAGTGGTTCTCAACCTGTGGGTTGGGACCCCATTTGGGGTCGAACGACCATTTCACGGGGGTCGCCAAACAAGGCTGTCTGCCATTTTTTCCCCTTTTCTTTGGCCACGCCCCTGGCACCCGGTGATGTATAAGTGGTTGGGGGTCACCACAACATGGGGAACTGTATTATGGGGTCGCGGCATTAGAAAGGTTGAGAACCACTGTTCTAGAGTCTCAACATTTTTTTTTACATCGTGATGATCAAAACTGGATGTAGTATTCCAAGTGTGGCCTTACCAAGGCATTGTAAAGTGGTATTAAAACTTCACGTGATCTTTATTCTATCCCTCTGTTAATGTAGCCTAGCAGTGTGTTGGCTTTTTTGGCAGCTGCAGCACGGTACTGGCTCATATTTAAGTGATTGTCCACTAGGACTCCAAGATTTGAGCAAGGTACCACCTATACTATACCTGTGCATTTGGTTTTTCTTGCCTAAATGTAAAACCTTCCTTTTTTTACCATTGAATTTCATTTTGTTAGATAGTGCCCAATGTTCAAGTCTGTCAAGATCCTTCTGTATCTTCTGGAGTGTTGTCTATTCCTGCCAGCTTGGTGTTGTCTGCAAATGTGATGAGTTCCCCATCTATTCTCTCATCCAAATAGTTGATGAAGATGTTGAAGAGCACTGGGCCCAGAACAAAGCCCTGGGGCACCCCACTACATACTTCCCTCCATGTAGATGCAGTTCCATTGAGCATCACATGCTGAATACAGCCGGTCAGCCAGCTATGAATTGATCTGGTGGTGATGCTGTCTAACCCACATTTTTCTCTCTTATCAAGTAGTAGGTTGTGGTCTATTTTATCAAATGCCTTACTAAAGTCCAACTAAATTATATCCACAGCATTCCTCTGGTCCACTAATTTTGTCACCTGGTCAAAGAATGCAATAAGATTTGTCTGGCATGATTTGTTTTTGACAAACCCATGTTGGCTTTTGGTACTGGCTTTGTTGCCTCTAGGTATTCGCTGATTTGTTGCTTGATTACCTTTTCCAAGATGTTTCCAGGTATTGAGGTTAGGTTAGGCTGATAGGTCTGTAGTTTCCTGGATCCATTATTTTTTATTTCTTTCACTTATTCCCCTGCTTTTTGTCTAAATAATAACACCAGTAATATTTATAGATTTATAATCATTCCATAGATGTATATTTAAAAATAAAAATTATTTCTCCCTTTCTTTATGTAGTCCGATAATGCAATGGGTGAAGAACAGTGGCTATTCAGAGTAGCTGGTTGGATGCTTTGGATTTTAATGGTAGCTCTAATGTTATGGAGTGACTATGGCAATGGACAAGCTCAAGGTAAGGTAATGAATATAATAAAAAAATAATGTAGTTATAATATTTAGCAGATTTAAATTTCAAGTCATTAATTTATTTTCTTAATAACTCTTTTATCATATATGTATTTACAAATATTGAACTTTTGATGGGATAATTTTTGGTTAGATTTGCTATATAAATTGTTATTTCATTTTTCTGGGTGATAAATCTGTGTCTGATCATTATGCTTTTGCTGATTATTACTGTTGTTAATGACTAAGACTTGCAGGGTCAGTTTGATTTCTAAATATTAGTTTTATTTTGTTTGTGCCATGCATATATTCTCCAGTAGCATTTAGTGTTGCAATGAATAGAAGGAATGATAAAATGATATGGTTATAATATCTATGAATAGGGAAGTGATGTGAATAAGTAGCTGCCTGAGTATTTTATAACAACTGGAGATATCATTTTGTTTAGCCAGGGCTTCGTAGAAAAAATGAACAGCACTGTAGAATTGTACTTTTAAAATTACATTTTTTGAGTTTTGCTTTCAAGTAAGTTGGATCATGATATGAATATTTTAATTTGTCTTGTTTAATAAGAGAACATTAACAAACTCACAACATCTACCCAACCTGGCCAATGATAAAAGAGTCTGTAAGCTATTATTCAGTATTTGGAGGAGTTCCTTTTCCCCTATGCAGCAAAGGTCTGCATAACTGCATCTTGACTATGAAAGAAGCAGTATGAAATCCTGAAATCTAATTTTCAAATTGTGTAATGTAATTGTGGCTTCTGTTAGAGTCATCATATGATCACGTGCATAAAGAAGAAAAAGCAGAAGAAAGGGCAAAGCAAATAAGTGCTATAGTTAAATTTAATATAACTTTAAGGCAATTTTCAAAGCAAATCATATTAGAATTGTAATGACAAATACCTCTACCACTAACTCAGTAGTTTCTGAAAACATAGAATACTTTCTGGGGCAATTAACATTGCTCTCTGATTTTGGGTGCTTCCCTATAGCCATGATTTTCACTTCCCAAATTGTTCCCGTTTTGAAAATGACTTACAGTTTTCTAAGACCCACTGTTCAGGAAATTCTCAGAATTCCAAACAAGCTGATTAGTTCTTCTTTCAGCTACTCAGATTTATCCAATGTAAAAGATTGGATAAGCTCAGATTTATCCAATGTATGAAGACAATGTAATTTTTTGAGAGACCGTGAGCAGGAGACAGAAAAAGATGACATTTTTTTTCATGAGAAAACACTAGTTGCAAAACTGCAGTAATTCAGTTGCAAAATTATTTTCATATTATTTTGCATCATAAGAGAACCAGAAGCTAATTATATGTGTTGCTTGAAGATCATAGTGAATGGATAGAAAAATTTGCTTTGTTGGTTTGTTTTTACAATTTTCACTATAAATCAGCTAAGACAGAAATGAACTGCACAAATAGATTACAGTATGACAGAAAAAGTCCAGATCTGATTCTGAAATGGTACAAAGTTTATAAAGTGATGTACTCTTATGAGATAAAAAGAAGAAAACTAGGGGGATATTGCCAAATTTTCCTGCATCAAGTATTAATATTAATGTGGCATTGCAACATATTGTTGAAGGAAAAGTCTTCATCAAGGTTCAGTCCAAGCCAGGAATAAATAACATGGTGCCTGCTTTAGAAAGAAGATTGCAGTTTATTGAAGAGGAGAGCCAGACAGAAAGATGGCTCTGGAAGAAAAAAGAGAGAGCACATGTAGGGAGTGGGTTTTTATACCTTCTTAAGCCTTTTGTTTGGAATTGTTCTTGTGGCATGAACTTTGACCTGAGTCTGAGTGTGCCTTTCTGATATTCTGATGGTGGTGGGTTAATCCTATTATGTCTCAAAGGTCAATCCTGCTTCCCTGGGGCTGGAGTTCTTAGATTTTTGGTGTGAGGAATTGTTGATTCTAGGGATCTTTCTTCCTAATCCTAGATTCCTGACTCCAATCTTTCTGACAAGATTATCACATCTGCAATTCTGCAGACTTGGTTTCTGTTGGGACAGAGAGACTTGGGGGTGGGGTTGGTTTCTGCTTTTAAAATCCTTTAGGAAAATATGTTCTGTGTTTTAAATATTTATTGTGTATACTACAGGCCACCCAACCAAACAGAGGAAATAGATGAACTTTTTGCTAGTCAGCTTACTAAGGTATGTAGGAAGCACATCACAATAGTAATGGGGGACTTTAACTACCCTGACATCAACTGAGAGACAAACTCTGCACCAAGTGGAAGATCAAACAGATTCCTGGCAAACCTAGCAGACAACTTTGTCTCCCAAAAAGTAGAGAAGGGAACTAGGGGATTAGCCTTTTGGGATCTAATTCTCACTAACAGAGATGAAATGATAGAAGGTGTTGAAGCCATAGGAACCCTGGGAGGAAATGATCATGCAATACTGTAATTCAACATTATGGAAGCACAAGCAATAGAACTCAGTGAAACTAGAGTCTTGGACATCAAGAGAGCTAATTTCAATAAACTTAGAGAGGGCTTGGGAAGGATTCCATGGATGAGAATCCTCAGGGGGAAAACAACTCAAGAAGCTTGGGAAATTTTGAAAAATGAGATAATAAAAGCCCAGTCTAGTACACTACCAACAAAGAGGAAAAATAACAGCTCACAAAAGAAACCAGCATGGCTACATAAAGAACTCTTTGACAAATTGAAAGATAAAAAGGACAAGTATAGAAAGTGGAAAGAGGGGCACATAACTAAGGCAGAATATCAGCAAATAGCCCGAGCCTCCAAAGATGAAGTGAAGAAAGCCAAGGCTCAAAATGAACTAAGGCTTGCGACCAAAGTCAAAGATAATAAAAGAAGCTTCTTTCAACATATAAAAAACAAGAAAAAAGTGAAGGAAATGATTGGTCCATTAGTGGGTGGAAGTGGCAAGAAGGTGACAAGCAACAGGGAGAAAGCAGAACTATTTAACTCGTTTTTTGCATCTGTCTTTACACAAAGGGAAAAAACAGACCAACCTATCAAAAATAGTGCCATAAAAAACAGAATAGAAACACAAGTTAAGATAGGCAAGAAAATGTAAGTGAGCACCTGTCCAGCCTAGATGAGTTCAAATCGCCAGGACCAGATGGATTACACCCCAAGGTTCTCAAGGAACTGGCAGATGTGATCTCAGAACCACTGAACTATATTTTTCAAAGATCCTGGAGCACAGGGGAACTACCAGAGGACTGGAAAAAAGCTGATGTAGTTCCCATCTACAAAAAAGGAAAATAAATGGATCCAGGAAATTACAGACCTATCAGCCTGACCTCAATACCTGGGAAGATCCTGAAAAAAATAATCAAACAATGACTCACCGAACACCTAGAGGCAAACAAAGTCATTACTGAAAGCCAACATGGGTTTGTCAAAAACAGATCATGCCAGACAAATCTTATTGCATTCTTTGACCAAGTGACAAAATTAGTAGATCAGAGGAATTCTGTGGATATAATTTACTTGGACTTCAGTAAGGCATTTGATAAAGTAGATCACAACCTACTACTTGACAAGATAGAAAAATGTGAGGTAGACAGCATTACCACCAGATGGATCCGTAGCTGGCTGACCGGCCGTACTCAGCGTGTGGTCCTCAATGGAACTGCATCTACATGGAGGGAAGTATGTAGTGGGGTGCTCCAGGGCTCTGTTCTGGGTCCAGTGCTCTTCAACATCTTCATCAACGATTTGGATGAGGGGATAAATGGAGAAATCATCAAATTTGCAGACGACACCAAACTGGCAGGAATAGCCAACACTCCAGAAGACAGGCTTAAGATACAGAAGGATCTGGACAGACTTGAACACTGGGCACTATCTAACAAAATGAAATTCAATGGTGAAAAAAGCAAGGTTCTACATTTAGGCAAGAAAACCCAAATGCACGGGTATAGTATAGGGGGTACCTTGCTCAATAGCAGTAACTGTGAGAGGGACCTCGGAGTCCTAGTGGACAATCACCTAAATATGAGCCAGCAGTGTGCTGCAGCTGCCAAAAAGGCCAACACAGTGTTAGGCTGCATTAACAGAGTGATAGAATCAAGATCACGTGAAGTGTTAATACCACTTTACAATGTCTTGGTAAGGCCACACTTGGAATACTGCATCCAGTTTTAGTCACTGCGATGCAAAAAAGATGCTGAGACTCTAGAAAGAGTACAGAGAAGAGCAACAAAGATGATTAGGGGACTAGAGTCTAAAGCATATAAGGAACAGCTGCTGGAATTGGATATGTCTAGTTTAGTGAAGAGAAGGATGAGGGGTGACATGATAGCAATGTTCCAATATTTTAGGGGCTGCCACAAAGAAGAGGGAGTCAAGCTATTCTGCAAAGCGCCTGAGGGCAGGACAAGAAGCAAAGGTGGAAACTAAGCAAGGAGAGAAGCAACCTAGAACTAATGAGAAACTTCCTGACAGTTAGAACAATAAACCAGTGGAACAACCTGCCTCCAGAAGCAGTGAATGTTCCAACACTGGAAGTTTTCAAGAAGAGACTGGACAGCCATTGGTCTGAAATGGTATACGGTTTCCTGCCTAAGCAGGGGGTTGGACTAGATGACCTCCAAGGTCCCTTCCAACTTTACTACTACTACTACTACTATTATTATTATTATTATTATTATCATCATCATCATCATCATCAAAAATATTTCTAGGGTGGGGGCTGACTTCCCACAATATTCTCTTTCCTTGGGAGAAAATAGAGCTAAGCTTAAGCATTCCCTAATTTTTATATTTGAAGTCTAAGATTCTTTTTATTTTTGAAAATTTATAACTATTGGTTTTGTCAGTTTTCTCAGAGCTATGTAAATTCTCAACATCTATAATTATGCAAGCAACACTATTTGCAAAATGTGTGCAATTCATTAAATATAGAAGACTCTTATTGATAATTTTGGAGAAGAATTACTGAATTATTGAAAAGAAAATATTAAAAAATAATAAATGGGTCTTAGAAAGTCCACTATAAAGAACATGATATTGAAA